TTTCAGCATGCGGCGGTGACCCCTTTAGTTTTCGACACACATTGAAGGTAATTTACCCATTATATATATATATATGCATGATGAATAAGACATTATTTTTATAACGATGCTTAGCTCAGTTGAATATCTTTGGTGGAGTGGGACAGAGCAAGCGAAGTAATTTTTTTCATTTCTCTGCTACGATGCTTATGTCCACAAGTAAAGAGAAAAAAACTTTCAAAAATATCAGTCCTTAAAAACAATGCAAACAAGATAGTATGGATGGCATTTGCATCATTCCTACATAATAAAACAGGCACACAGTATAATATAATGTTAACAGACAAAAATAGGACAAATTAAACTCAATTGTGATTGAATAGTTATAAAAATTGCAATATGTTAATTTTTGCTTGTGCTGTTATGCCATCCCTACTATATTGTTTGCATTGTTTTTGAAAGATTGATATTAGCTATCCCTACATTTACTTTCTTTTTTGAAAAGTTTTTCTTAACTTGTTTATTTATTTTTAACCGCGGCATGACGGCTCATAGAATGACTCTGATTTCTTCAAGTACAAACCTTTAGCTCATAGCTCCGTTAGCTCTTGACCGATTTGAGATCCAATTATAGTTTTCGACTCAGGAGGTCAAATCCTTTCGATTGATATATTTGACCATGCCCAAGGTCTTATAGATTAATTTACTCTAATCCTGCCTAAAAGAATTTCAAGTGCCGTTGCTATTGAGATTCCCTCTTGTTTTTAATGCAATGTTTCAACAGACATAGGAAGGTTGTATTTAAAGCCAAGTTTTAAATACAATGAGGTTCCAACTGTAATATTTATTGTCTATCTATTATTGGCTGGTAATTCCTGTTTCACCCTGTATTTACGCTTTTTAAAGGAACATCAGATGTCTGTAAAAAAGCTAACTTCAAGGGGTAATGATAATATCGTTTACACTAGAATTATGATTTTTTAAATTACTAATAGTTAATTCCCGTCTCACCAAACATGCTCGCCCGTTCAGCCGTGGAGGCGTTATAATGTGACGGTCAATCCTACTATTCGTTGGTAAAAGAGTAGCCCAAGAGTTGGCGGTGGGTGGTGATGACTAGGTGCCTTCCATTTCGTCTTACACTGCTAAATTAGGGACGGCTAGTGCAGATAGCCCTCGTGTAGCTTTGCGCGAAATTCCAAACAGACATACAAACTACTAGTTAATAACATTTATAAAAGCGGACACTCCGTTTAAAACTACGTCACCTCAGTGAATTTGTTTAACACCATTATTTTGTGGTTTGAGATACCATGTAATAAAAAAGAAGCGGAAGAAAAAAAGAACGTAAAATTCAACCTTCTTTGCTATGATATTTACAGACATTGCCAGAACTTGTAACTCAGTCATTACATAGATATTGTTGTAAAAGGAAACACTGTATAGAATTGTAAAGTTCTGATGACCTATTGAGGAGATATGTTAAATACCATTTCGATGAATAATCCGAGCCATCCCTATATAGGCAGTGCTACCGCCTGCCTGAGAATGTACAGTGTGTATTCTCATATTCATAACAACCTGATTGTTATATATTTATTAGTAAACATTTAAAAAAAATACCAAACCCTAATGAAAATTTACATATAAAACAACAGATGTTACAAGCTCTGTTGATTCATTTTTAAACATAGAATTGTACGAATAATTGAATTGTATAGATATTTTTTTATTTTACGGAGATAACTTTGATGACTCTAAGTGCTTTTTCTGACGTATATTTGTTCACTTACGAGTGCATTATATACACAGCGTGATCACAAGTAAATATACACCACCTTTTCAGAAAAAATGAAAATTTTCAGTCATATTCACATGAATTGACATATTTATAATTTAATTAATATCTAGTAGATCTTCCTTTCGCTTCGTGGAGTTCGTTGATCCTTTGGGGCATCGTGAGAATCATCTCGCCAATTTTAGATTGTGGGATGTTTGCCCACTCTTGCTTCAAAACTTGGAGTAGATCGCTCTTCGAAGTTGGTTTTTTGGTTGTTTCTTGACTTGCCGGTCGAGTATGGCACAGAGGTTTTCGATGGAGTTCACGTCAGGAGATTGGCTCGGCCAGGGCAACTTCTGGATACCATTTTCTTCTTGCCACTTTTGGGTGTTTCTAGCAGTGTGACACGGTGCTCCATCTTCCAGGAACAACGTTGTGTTCTTGTCCACGAAACCCGAGGAATAGAGTGGCAAGAGTCCTTCCTCCAATATTTCGACGTATTTCGCAAAATTTATGTTGCCAACGCACTCCAGTAAGCTCGATCTCCCACCAACCCAAACAGTGCCCCCAAACATCACGCTGAAACCACCATGCTTCACAGTTGGCTGCAATCTGTTGAGCCAAAACTCTTGGTGAGGCATTCTCCAGACCCATATCCTTCCACTGTCCGAAAATTGAGCGAATCTTGATTCATCTGAGAACAATACGGTCTTCCAAAAGTCCAGAGGCTTGGTCATCATATCACCTGCCCACTTCTTTCGTCTGACTATGTTGGCAGGTCTTAATAAGGGCTTCCGTCTAGCTGCTCTGCAACGATAACCCAATCTGTGGAGAATCCATTGAACAAATTTCGGGCTCATCCCACCAGCTTTGGCCACTTCTGCAGATCCATTTCGATGCTCTTCTTGACAGCCCTTTTTGTCCTCTCCGATGGACCAGGATGACCCGGCCGCTGCTCAGTTGTTTCCTTGCTGTGTTTCCTGAACTGCACGATGATTCTGTTGACTGTCGAAAGTGGGATTCCCAAATTCTGCGAAATTTGCCGCTGACTTATTCCACCATCTGCTTGACCAACTATCCTTCCTCTAACAAAATCTGACAATTCGAGAGAACCTTGAGTTTTAGGCATGTTGTAGCACAAGATAATTAGTGTGCGGACCATTTTCATTGAACACAAATTAGTTAGCATAAATCAGTTAAATGACGAAAAATTAGGTGTCTATTTACTTGTGACCACTTAGTGTAAATAATATTTTACAGACGTTATTACTGGTGTATATGTTTGCTCTCCCAGGCATCACGATATTTCTTCAAAGATGTTTAGAATTTGTATTTTCAGGTGCATGAAAATCAGCTGATAGAGCCCAATTTTGGCATTCTATTTTATGTACAATATATTCAAACGAAATAAGATGTTTCTCATAGTGAAGAATACAGTAAAGCAACTGTATGCATGACTTTCAAATCCGCTTTACTCATTTGTATTGCACATAATGTATTTTGTCTTTAATGGTATTTTTTCTGTTTTTTGGCTTGATGACACCTTTTTCTCTTGTCTACGATAAGTCATTTCATAAAGACTGTTACGGGTATAAGTATGGCAGTATGTTTGTGTTAATCACATTTTATTTATTATTCAAATATCAGAACCTATTCTAATAGTAAAAGGAAAGTAGTAGTCGCATCACCTACGCCTGTGTTTCATACAGTACCCATTAAATAAGTTATGCTGTTTATTCTATTTTTTTTTGAAATAACGCAGTGTTTTCGTTTAGGACAGTAATTTATATGTTTTTTTTATTATTTTGTTATAAAGAACTACTTAAACCATTTAATTCAGTTATAGATAATCATTTGTACAATATTCAGTAGCTGTAAATTTACATTTGCAAATCCATAAAATTGGAGTGAATTAAAGGAAGAACTTGTAACATGAAAATTAAAGTTTATGGATAAAACAAATAATATGTTTTAGAAACTTATTTCTGTTTTAAAAAAACATTAAGTTTCACTTGGTTATCTGGTATAATTAGGAGGATACAATCAAGAAATTTTCATTTAATACATAGCGGTGAATGATTTTTTTAGTTGAATAATTGTTTTGTTTTGTTTTTGAATTTCGCGCAAAGCTACACGAGGGTTATCTGCGCTAGCCGTCCCTAATTTAGCAGTGTAAGACTAGAGGGAAGGCAGCTAGTCATCACCACCCACCGCCAACTCTTGGGCTACTCTTTTACCAACGATTGACAGTCACATTATAACGCCCCCACGGCTGAAAGGGCGAACATGTTTGGTGGGATGGGAATATAGTTGAATAATAGTGTTGCTTACAAGGGTATTTTGAATTATGAAACATAGAAAAATGTAAAAAACATAAAATAGGACTGATAGAAATTTAAATACCGTCATTGATTACTGGCCCAGTACGATCAGGTATCATCTATGTAAAAGTGTATCACTATCAGGCATCACAATATGTATGCTACTTATATAAAAAAGAACGACGAATTGTATTTGTAATATAGTAAACGAAACTATTTACAACTTGATATACTGTTGGTATAACCGTATATATTTTGTAACTTATAATGTTAAGTATAAGTATTGCTTCCTTCCAGTTATATCATATACAATATGATAGACTGAGGTTCGATTTTATACCGTATTGACAAACACTTGTATGACATGAAACGCGAGGATGCACGGAGATTTTAGTTATTGAATAAAGTGACTTATCATTAACTGTGTGTTATCATAACAGTCGTGTCTTCTTCACGCGTTCTCAAAGCTCACAACAAGCCTAGGAAAGATGGAGGGTGCTGCCTGTGACCCAGGATGTTAAACTTTGTGTCTAATAGCTAGTATTATGTTGGGGAACAATGTCCAGTCTCTTTTACAGCTTCTAAATAGCACGTGAAATAAGAGAAAAAATCCCCGCTGTTCTAACTGAAATACTAATCCATTTATCACGACAAATAATGGGGGATGGCACTGACTAGCAGCGATGGACCAATCATAGATCGCCACCGCCTTCCTCCTTACTACTACCACCACGCGGCAAATGTCAACTACTCATGAATCAGCCAATCAGGAAACGGAAAAGCTTAGTCACATGATGTTTACTGCGGCTGAAAAGGTTAAACCATAAACGTCGTAATTTGATCATGACAGATTAGACTTTACAGCTGCCTCCCATCGATTTATATAGTCTGTTAGTCGTACCATGGGAAGTGTGCGTTGAGCTCCTTAGGTCTTGCCGGCAGATTAAACCAACTGACAATGCTGCTAGACTAACATGTGCAGTGTACCAGCTTGTTGCTTTGGATATAGCTTGTTCCCTTGCCCTACTCATGCAGCGCGTGTCAGCGCCGTCAACTTTTTCCATAGACTCACTGATGTCAGCTCCGGTGCCAACGTCTTCGGGACCGGCTAGGCTGCCTTTACCCATGTTCTACAACAGCTATTTGTTCTTATCTCAGGCCGGTTTTTATCATGGACTGGGCTTCTCTCAACAGCCGATGCCCTTACAATCCCCAGAAATGCCTACACAGTCGCCTCAACTGGGGCTCACCGTTAACCCACATATGTATGGATCTTCTTTTGGGTGTGTACCAGGACTACCAGGTACTCCTAACTTCAGGGGCCCTGTTCCTGGTCTGACTGCCGTTGTGCCATCCGCAGCTTGCGGCACACCAACAATATCTCTGCCTACTATGGATTCACCCAAGACTTGGGAATTTGATCCTGCTAGCCCGGCATCATCATCATGCCCGTCAAGTCCTCAAAGAGAATCCCCTTCTCCTGAAAAGGTATACTGTCATGATGATAACTTCAAAGGTAAGTTTGGTTTCCCGGGAGATAATCAATAAATGGTTACTTCTGTACGTTTATACGTGTGTATATCTGAGTATGTATGTCATACGTTTAATCACAGTTAGTAATACTGTGGTTGGGAACCTGTTAAGGGGCACGCATTGGACTGTTACAATAACAAAATAATGGCGTATTATATGGGATTACATTTATATGTCATAATAACAGTCAGGCAACAGCATTAAGTCACAGATCACACGAGTAAAATGTCACATTTTTAAACATTAAAAAAAAAAGAGTTCTACACGAACTAACGCTAACGAATACAAACCAGCAACAACAAAAACACGTAAACTGTGGTTGTCTTAGAGTATAAGGTAATGTATCACAAAATAGCACAACCTCACAGTATATCATACGTTTTATAGGGAATACAGTACGTATGATTCATTAAGTGTTAAGCTTGTGTTCTATGAAGTACATTACTTTGGTAATTAAAGAAAGGGAAATAGAAAGCGTTTCCGTGGTTTAAGAAGGAAAGTGTGTATAACTCATTTGTAGATATTTGTTTGTTAGATATATAATTACTTTGTATTGCATTTATACTTATAATATTAGATACATTTTAGTCGTTATGAAAGGCAAAAAAAGAAAAAATCATACAGACATTCTTGAATACTATGCATAATTACAATATTAATATAACTACGTAGTGTGCATTATAATATGCATAATCTTGGATATGTATCACCAGAAAATTAATTGCAATGGAGTAGTAGAGGTTAAGAAAAACTTTACGTTAATTTTAATTGTGTGACTTTGCCATTACGAGTAAACAAAGCAAAAAATGATGTATATGGTTGACTGGGAGTTTTATGATGAGATTTAGGCTTTTCATTTATTTGAAATAGCAGTTAAAGTTATATCTGGTCAGTATCACGTATGCATCTAAGAAAAAAAATAACATTTCAATTTTGCTAATGGAAGAAATAGTAATTGGATACAAGTTACCATCTTTTCTTAGCTCCCAGTATCAATCTATACAATATATATTATATTACATATAGGCTTATCTTTAAGTCTATATTCTTGTAATTTTGGTAATGGTTGTTAACTATTATTCACAATAACGACCATAACTTTATTATATTTCATAAGCATGGTTTTACTGTACATTATTAGCCACAATACTTGTTCTAAAGTAGCAATATTCACAATAACGACCATAACTTTATTATATTTCATAAGCATGGTTTTACTGCACATTATTAGCTACAATACTTGTTCTAAAGTAGCAATATTCACAATAACGACCATAACTGCATGATATTTCATAAGCATGGTTTTGCTGTACATTATTAGCCACAATACTTGTTCTAAAGTAGCAATATTCACAATAACGACCATAACTGTATGATATTTCATAAGCATGGTTTTGCTGTACATTATTAGCCACAATACTTGTTCTAAAGTAGCAATATTCACAATAACGACCATAACTGTATGATATTTCATAAGCATGGTTTTGCTGTACATTATTAGCCACAATAGTTGTTCTAAAGTAGCAATATTCACAATAACGACAATAACTGTATGATATTTCATAAGCATGGTTTTGCTGTACATTATTAGCCACAATACTTGTTCTAAAGTAGCAACAGCAGACACAAGTTTTTCAAGTATCTTAGACTACTATGGTTTATGAATATTAAGAACGTTTACTGGTTTGCATAAAACTTGGTTCTTGAACGAAGGAATTCTACTCGAGACGGTTTTATAGAACTAAATAATGAAAGAACATTTATGAAAAACATATAACGTTTCTTAGACAAATAGAAAAAAATAATAATTAAGTGCTATGCAATGAAATAAACACACTGTTAGTTTGGCTAAAAATTGGACATGGTAACTAGTTGTTTTACTTATTGATAACTTCTTATCAGATCTAATCAAAAACACCTTAGGTGTGAAAAAAGGTGCTGCCAAAAAAGGATTAAGTGTGCGACTAAAAGGAATGAAACCAAAACTGACGGCCAAACTGGTAGCTACACTTATAGCATTGATAATAATTTTACAGCAAATATTCATTTATTAAAATCAAACTGGTGTATTTACGTGTTTTACACTCACCAAAAAGAAACCTATCATTCTATAGGTATTTTTAAAACTTGTAGCAATCCG